CTAAGATAAAATATTCTAAATATTCCTTACCTTCTGAGCAAAACGTATCACCTGACAATATACACGTAAGGTGTTTTTCAGTATAACGAGTGGTTTGGTAGTTAATAATATTAGATGATAGTTTAGAGTTTTAGTTACTTATGTAATTTTTTCTAATAATGATTTTAGTAAACTATCAAATGCATTGCAAATAAAATAAATAAATAAATAAAAAGCTAAAATAAGTAGGCAAAATCCTATAAAATAAAAGTTTACTAAGATTTGTAAAGTTTTTACTTTTTGAAATATTTGTAACTTTATACAGATTATTTTTGCAGTACAATTTTTTAATTAGTAATTGATATATTATGTAACATAATTGATAATTGATATATATTAGTTATTTGATAGGAGGGTTAAAATATCATCTGAACTGCTTTAAAGTTTAGTGATATTCTAACCTCTCTATTAAATAACTGTATTATTCTACAACCACTGATGATCATACTATATTAAATTATTTTTGGTTTAACATGTTTTTTTAGTCTTTTTTAAAATATTTTTCCTCTTTCTATTTATAAATATAATATTATTAAATTATTTTCAGTTTAACATGATGCATTTTTTTATCTTTTTTTTATTTATTTTTTTCACTTATATTCAAATAAAATGCCATAATTAAGTTCAAATAATACATTACAGAAACCAGTTTCAGTAACTGTATTGTAACTACATTATAATCATACAGTACTAACTATATAGTGCAATAGTAACTGCATAGTAAAAATATTATAAATATGCAGTTACAGTACTACATATTAAGAAAATTAAGTTTCTGTAATATAAAATATTATTCATTTATTAATATTATTTGCTTTATTTTTTTTTCTTTATAATAATATTTTGTATTATTTTTTTTTAAAAAAAAATTAGAAGAGACTATTATTACTCTAGCAGTAAAGACAAAGTTGACTTTTATTATGAATTTTTAAAAGTAAAAAATACAGTTAAAATAACAGATATTTAGATAAATTTATTAAAAGTTTTAAGAAGAACAGTTTGTTATATAGAGTTTTTGCAATAGAAAGGTACGAAACTCAAAAAATATCAAAAATTGAATTAATATTAAATTTGCATTTATTTCAGTAAAAAAAAACATAATTAGCATATAAAGTAAAATTAAAATTTTTTTTGAGTTTCGTACCTTTCTATTGCAAAGACCCCATATATAGGAAAAATTTAGAAAGTGAAATCTAAATAAGATTTAATTAAACAATTATGCTCTTTTTTTACTAATATAAAGAAAAAAAATGGTGCCAATTATTCTATTAATTCTATTATTAGAACTTCTTTTTACAACTATTAACCATTTTTTTTAAAAAAAATCAAAAATTAAAAATATTAACTTATATAATAATTCTTGTTTTAAAGCTATAAAAAAAGTTGTTGATGGAAAAATTAGATATTTGTCTAAAAATAAAAAAAGTAAAACTAAAGAAGCAGATTCGCTAGATTTGATAAATATTTATCATTATATTTCTATAATACAGATTCTAATTTTTACCTTGGAAGTTGAAGAAAATTTGATAATATATTTTAATAGTAATATTTATAAATATTAATAAAGAATTAATATACTTTATTATTTTAGCTTTGAAAATGGGAATTTGGTATAAATACTGTATAAATTAAAACATATAAGATTTAGAAGATTAATAGACATTCCTAAAGAAGAAATGAAATTACTTTCTCAAATGCTAGATTATTATCATACATCTTATTTCTAATGATAAAAAAAAATGAGATTATTGGAAAATTTATAGAAAAAATTCATGGAAAATTAACTTTAAGTATATAGAATTTATTCAATTATTATAATTACTTATTGTTTTAACTAAATATATTAAATATTTAATTTTTATTTATTAGATAAATTAAAAGTACCAGAAATATTAAATGGTCAAAATTCATATAATAAATAAGTAATGGGAAAAGAAAACAATAATTTTAAAATTACAAAAGAAGGTAATTAATCTATTTTATTTTATAACTTATTAATTTATCTAATTTATTTTTTTAGTATTTTATAAAAATCAATAAAATTCTCTAAAAAAGCCATTATATTTAACTGATATAAATTAACAATTAGAAATTTTAATAAATATTAATCAATTTAAATAGTTATTTAATTGTGATTTAATTTCTAAGTTTAAAGGAAAGGGTAATTTATCATAGCAAATTTATCATAAATTAGAATAAATATCTATATCTATTATTGATATTTTTTTAAATACTAAATATCATGTATTAAATATCATATTAAATATTATAAATATTATATACTAAATATCATGTATTAAATATTATATTGCAGAATAAATTTACGTGTTTTATATATATTTTTTAAATATATATTATGTTATAAATGTTATAAACCATTAATTTTTCTAATTAAAAATCAACATTAATTCAATCATATGATTTTGTAAATTTTTAATTTGAAATATATTGATAATTTATTGTGTTTTATATAATTATAAATTTATTTTAAAGTAAATAAAAATGTGGTTAAAAATATGAATATAATTAATTTGCAATATATAAATTTGTAAATATAAAATATACTTAAAATTATTTGTGAAAATGAAAACATTCTCTACTACTAAGTTCAGAATGCAAACTACATAATATGTATCTTATTGGTTATTTCGTCAAATTATATGATTTATATGTTTATGCAAGAAGAATTTTATATAATACAAGACTAACAATTAATATAATTATATTTATAACTAATAAAATAATTATAAAAGTAATATTTTATATATAAAAAAAATTGGAAATAAAAAATACAAACCTAGAGGGTTGATCACCCTTGGCTCATTGGTTAGTCTGTGAGTCCCCTTGTGAAGCCTGAGTATGGTGAGGTCGCAGGTTCGATTCTGCTGATCACAGAAATTAAAAGAATTTTACTGCAGACACTACTACCAATAGTGTGAAGGTACAGGGTTAGTGTAAGTTGGACTGCATCATGGTAAATTAGTATGTACCGGTCGGCAGCATATTTCAACAAAGGGTCATGATATCCTCCTAGCGTTCCCTATGAGGCCATTGGGAAGCCTATTGTCCTGTCTGGATGGTCACTGCTTGCATACCATTTGGGTGAGCTTTTATCTTGGTGATCACTCTATGATACCACTAAAGGTGTAGTAAACTTTACTGTAGGGTTTACTATGCTAGATGGTCCTCATAGATGGTAAAGTCTCAAGTGCAATGTCTTAGCAGTAGTTTACCTTCTAATAGGTTTAGGATGATTGGAGACGTTCGTAGACTTACAGGTATATAAGGTTCTAAGGTGAGGTTCGATTCCTCAGTAAATTTGACGTATTGGTGGGTGATCCCTGGGTAACTGAGTTGGTTACTTTGCTGAAACTTGGAGTTTACAATCGATATTGATTGGATATCGCAATGATATCATTACGATATCATTACGATATTTTGATAAAAAATAGATTCAACATTGTTAAGTTAGTCGTAACTGTATTTATTCAATATTGATTAGTTTGATATCTCTGCGATATCGCTGCGATCATTATGCGATGTAAATATTATCACGTAACCACATCGTAGTGATGTCGTATTAACATTGAATTAATATTACAAAAATATTTGACATTTATTTGATAT